CCCTGTTTTAATTTTAGCCAAAAGCCATCAAATGCCACCATCGAGTAGATTCTGACTCACAGCAATCCTATATAGGATTTCCATGACCATAAAATGTTACTGGACCAGAAAGAAGAAAATGTTCTAAAACAGATTGTGGTGGTGATTTTAAAACAAACGAAAAAAGCTTTGCAGGAACAGACCGCCTCATATCCCTGCCCCCTCTCCCCACTCCCCAATCAACTGGTAAATCTGCAGTGCCTCCGAGACTCCTTGAACATCCCCTAGACGCAAAAAAGGCTTCATCACAGGTACCTTCACTTGCTGCATAGGTAGCTTTTAGATGATTGAAAAAGTCTTAAACCTTTTCTTCCCTAAAGTAAAGCTGAATAAGCTCACTTACAAACTGTGGAATACACAATTAGGAAGGAGTCTGCTCTGTAGCCTTGGGACTGCCTGTGTCCGTTTCTGCAGCATGGAATATTCTCTAATGCCGATAGTGTTATTCAGGAGAAAGATGGGGCTTTCTACTCCCATAAAGCATGATCGTCTCAGAAACTCACAGTAGCAGTGCTACCCTGTCCTGTAGAGTCAGCAGTGAATCAGCATTGACTCAGTGGCATTGAGTTGGTTTGTTTAGTCGTTTAATGGTAGTAGTGCTAGGCTGACACGTGACCTTTTTATTTTTATAGTAACATATAGTAAGTATGTATTACTAATTGTTGGTGGCTGTAGCATATTATCTAGCATACTATCATCCTTTTGTAGCCCCTTCAAAATACTCTGCTGTGTAAAAGAAGTGAGATCTCTTTATTGAATTGTTCAGTGACTATTTCAGTGCCTCCTATGTACGCAAGACATTTTGACAGGTCTTAGGGACACAGTAGTGAAGGACTATCAAGTTTTGTTGAGCTCAGAAAACCAATTTATATAGAGTCTTAACCACTAGTTTCTCTAAAACTGTTTGAGAGGCCATTCTCTAACAAAGCCTCCCAGGGAGTACGTTTATTGATGTAAATCACTGAAGTGTATACACTGGAAGGCTTCTCAGATAGCACACCTTATAGTCTATAAGCTTATCTCCATTAGTGAAAAGGACAGAAGTTGGAGAATCACAACCAGTAGATTGTTTTATATCTAACCTCTTGAGGAGAATTTGGTCTCTAATGTCACTTCTACCCAACCTCCCACACTGCCACACAAGGCACCTGGAAGGCTCGCTCAGAACGGGACCATATGTAAAGAGAAGTGCCGTTTAAGGGCAGTCTGACTAGACCCAGACCTACTGAATGTGTGCATCTTATGCTATCCTTGCACTGTTGGGAAGCATACTTTAATAGAAGCTTAGGTTAGTTATATGATGAATCACTGGTAAAGATGACATGTAGTATATGTTATTACATATATATGAAGTTTTAAACTTCCTAGCATAAAAATTTCTATGTGAAAGTAAGAGAATCATAGCTTTTTAAAGAATAAACACTATGAAACATTGTGTGCTCCCTTTAGGCCAGCCTTGGTTGGCGACTGCATCTGCTCCCCTCCCTGATCGAAGACGTGGAGGGCGGTTTAAGAAACATGAACCAGCATCCCTCACCGACACTCAAGCTCCGTTTCTGATGGGGGTGGGGTTGAGGTGATCAGTACAGCTTTGACCAGAAGTCCTGAGGAGGAGGCATCAGCTGTTGACCCTTCAGGGGTTCCTTAGATGCCCTGCGATGAATTCCCTCCTACCTCTACTTTGCTGAGTTTTAATCATTCCTAGACTTTATTAGGTGATTTTTTTTTTAATGTATCCTTTGTCCCTTCAGTATGGTTTATTTCGTTGGTAGGTTTTCAAATATTGATCAGTCGTGCATTTCTGGGATAAATAATTGACTATGGCATATGATTCCATTTCCATTTTGTGGATTCAATTTACTAATATTTTGTTAATAAATTATTTTTATGTATAAACTTCGACGAGGGATATTGCTTTGTAGTTTTCATTTGTCCAGATGTCTTTCTTGTATCAGTAATAGTAGCTCAAAAATGAAAGGGAAAATTCTTCGTTCCTCTTCCATTTTTTCTGACAGATTATAAAAGATTGAAACTATGTCTTACTTACATAGCTGACAGAATTCACAAATGAAGCCAGTTGGGCTTGGGTTTTTCTTTGTGAGAGATTTTTAAATGATTAATTCAATGCCTGTACTTCTCCGCTGTCTAATCAGATTTTCTGTTTCTTCTTGAGTCCATTTTGAACGTGTCCATTTTGCGTAAGTTGTCTTAATTTCTTTAATGTTGTTAAGAATATTCCTTTTACTTTCTATAGGGTCCATGTGTTGATCTTGCTTTCATTCCTGACTTTGGTCATTTGTTTCTTGTCCTTTTGGGGTTAGTCTAAATGAAGGACTATCAATTCTGCTGATCTCAGAAAGCCATTTTCTCGATTCCGTATTGTTTTTCTGCGTGTCATGCCATCGCACTGCTCTGCGCTCTTTATGAGTGCCTTCCTCCCACGTCCTTTAGGTGTCAGCCCCCATTCTTTTCTGAGCTCCTTCCTTTCTGATAAAAGGTTTAATCTGTTTGTTTCCTGAGAAGCACAGCTTTCATGGCGTCTCCTAAATTTTGATAAGCTGTATTTTCATTTTGTTTCCATTCAAAATATTTTTTGTTGATTAAAAATTTTTTTTATTATTCCCTAGCTTCTCAAGGATCGATCCTTGTTTGCACAGCGTAGTGGTTAGCCAGTAAGTGGATCTATGTGTGGATTGGAAAGTGCATTCCAAGTTCAGTCAGTTCTTAAGTCCGCCGTGGCTGCTACGGTCTGTCCAACCCTCTTGGGTCTCTGGACGTGCGTGAGCTTCCAAAGCAGCCTTGTGTGAAGAGTTTAAATCACTGACTGTTGGCTCTTTGTCCCAAAACAGGACCAGGACCACACTTCGCGGGGCTTTCCCCTTCCTCTTCCACCACGTTGGCTGCTTGTACTGACACGCCTCAGCACCAAAAGAGCCCTCTCCCCCCGGGTTTTCACCCCGGCCAGCGAGGCTAAAATAATAGCCTTGTTAGGAAGGCCACGGCTGACACTGATCCCAAATATTAGGAAGAATTTTCTTCTCAATTTGTTGTTTCCCTGAGGTCGGTTTTCAGAAGCTTAAAATGGTTGTTTTCAACAACTTTCTGGTTTTATGCTTTTGTCCTGGGGGGCACGGGAGGCCTTGGCTGGCCTCTTCATGCCACCTGAGCCAGAAGTCTCTCTCTGTTGCGACATTTTGCAGCATCTCATGCTTTCTTAGGCTCCCATTACGGTGGGCAGTCTTAGGGGAAGACATAAACCACACGGACTTCTGCTGAGCAGGCTGTGTGTGGAAGATTTACTAACCAGTAACTGGCTGTATTTCTGTTTAGGCAAAGAGTAGGGCACCGTGCTATTAAGTTTGAGTATTATTTTTCAACTTGCAGCATCCACTCTTAACTAGGATGATACCGTTTACTCTTACTGTCCACTTTTTCTTTACCTCCCTCCAGCTCTTCTTTTGGAAGGGTGCTGTATTTAGTACTGAACATAGCTGACCTCGGCCATCGCGCCCAATGGCATTGTACTGTAACTGGCATGTGTAGTTGCTTCCAAATTGAGTAGCAACTGTTATGGGCAGATCGTGAGTAAAACCTTTAAAAGGTTAGTTGAAGGTATTTCTAAAAGTCTTAAAGCTCCTAATAGAATAAATACTTTTCTTCCTGGAAATTAGGTCCCTTTGTGGTTGGTCCTGGCCCTCGTGGGGTTCTCACCGGAGAGGAGGGCCCTACGGGCCGGTGCTGTTGGGCTGTTTTTCAACTCGTGACTGCTGATGACTACAGAAAGTTTGTCTGGCGCAGTGTCGGGCAGGGCTTCTGGCTCGCCTTCCTTGCTCTCCCCGGTGACTGACCCTTGGCCTTTCCAGTGTGAACAGGAAGCAGTGGATGGGTCCACGTCCCCCCCTCACAGGAGGGGGAGAGAGAAAAGCTGTAAAGCTGCAGCGCTATGAAGTCAGACTACAGCAAGAATGTGCTTGAAAATGAAAGTTGCTTGCTGACGCTCCAGGATGTTTCTCTTTTGTTTCTTGTACTGGGTTGAGCAGCGCTTATTTTATTACAGGCCTCTTAAAATGGCTATAGTAAGACTTAGTGACAGCAAGTGAAGGAGATCTTCATGTTTTTAATAAGAATGTTTTTATAAAGCCTTGTTACTGTTGTTGGGTGCTGTGTGTCAGTTCATCCTATCTACTAATCTTGATGCTTCTCGTAATATTGGTATTTAGACCATCCTGTTTTGTTAAACGTATTTGAATGTCTTTCTATACATTATCTCAGCAACACTTTATGATCAAGGAACAAACAGTATTCCAATTTTGTAGTTGTAGGTCAGAGGCATATACCTTAAGTGCTATCTTTTATTACAGTCTTTAAAGATTATTCCTGTTTGAATTTTCCCTATTCAAGTGTTCTTCTTGGATATATATATACCACACATAGATCCATAAGATGCTGAGTATCTTCACCTGAAACCTGCTTACTTTCCCAGAACATGAGGATTATAAAATCTTCCCTCTTCCGTGGGTGGTTGTAAGGATTCTATGAGAAGATACATATAAAAAGGATGGTACCAGATAATACTTGTTCAAGGATCTAAAAACATATCAAATGCATATAAGAACACTTTTGGTAGAAGGTCTAGGATTAATAGTATCACTAAGTAGAGTTACTTGCTCAGTGTTATGTCTTAGTAACCTTGGAAGCACATCACCAGGGCACTTACAGGCTGCTGACTGAACCACCATCCCGGTTAGCTGAGCTCTTCACCACTACTTCACAGAGACTTGGGGTTAAAACTCGAGCACTGCCACAAGCAGTGTTTCCTTACTGGCCCTGATGAAACATAAGCCTGGTTATATGCTTGTTAGAAATTGTTGTTTCTCGGTTAACCCTCGGCGGTAGACCCCCTGATCTCTCTTTGTGTGAGCAGTTAACTAAACAGCATGATGCCTGGTTACTTTCTGCAGGGAGGAGAGAGTGACTGCTTTTTCCACCCAGAAGGCCATCCCCAGCGGCTTCCTCCACCTCCGGAAGGGAGGCAGCAGCCTGTCCGGAAGGTCACACTGACCAAGGGGATCCTTCAGCCACAGCACTCACCAGTGGCCCCCCACATGCACCCGGCTATTCCTCCAGGGATCAAAAACATCCAAGGAATCCACTCAGCCAAAAAGGTACTGTTGGCCCTTTTTCCTCCCGCCTTAGAAATGTGGAGGCCGGGTTCTGCAGACAGCTAGGTAGCCTGCTGGTTCAGGAAATGTAATATTTAAATGGTTTCTCTGGTGCGCAGGACTTGCTGCTCAGCAGTGCTCAAATAAACATGCAGGACTTTGTTCTGGTTTTGAAAAACATACTTAGATGTGCACCATAGAGCTTTTCCTCTCATGACTTTTTAATGGTCCGGCTGTAGCACCTCATTGTGGGAGCGAGCGTTTGGTGGTTTGCCTGAAACGCTAAGCTGTCTGCACAGTCGCCGTCTCTGCCACCTTCCGAAGTCGGAGGAACGTACGGTACAGCACTCCGCCTGGTGACGCTTCCCTCTCTCTTAGCCACCAGATCTCATGAAGGAGACGTCCTGTGTCTTTTCAGGGGTGGTTTCATAAATATTATCCCCAAGGAGAGATAGGGCACCTTTGGGTGGCTCCATAATTGGCCCAAGAAAGCGGTAGGACCGTCGTTCTTGGTGGCTTTCCTACCTCTATGCTGGGATGTATTGACGTTTGAAGGCGTATTTGTCCTCGTCTGAGCTCAGTCTGCTAGATAGATAAGAAGCATCTCTCCAGGCCTCCTTTTGAGGGTGTAAATGCTTCTCCTTTTTTGTGTGATATATTTAAAATCCTCTTTGCATCATCCTGTCACAGTAGAGCAGCCGTCCCACCCCTCCGTCCCCAGCTTCTGGTGACAAGTATCTTTTTCTTCCACCAAAGCCTTTCCATGTCTGGAAGAGGAACAGCTGACCAGCCTGGTGGATAACATTGATGTAGAAGCCAGACAACCCTCATTCCAATAAATTCTGCCAAGTCGGGAAAAGTACATTACTGCCTTGCTTTGAGTTTCTCCCAGAAACCCTTTGAATCCGACTGGTTCATCCTATCTACTAATCTTGGTGCTTCTTGTAATATTGATATTTAGATCATCCTGTTTTGTTAAACATATTTGAATGTCTTTGTATACATTATCTCAGCAACACTTTATGATCAAGGAACAAACAGTATTCCATTTTTGTAGTTGTAGGTCAGAGGCATACACCTTACGTGCTATCTTTTGTTACAGTCTTTAAAGATTATTCCTGTTTGAATTTTCCCTATTCAAGTGTTCTTCTTGGATATATATATATACCACACATAGATCCATAAGATGCTGAGTGTCTTCACCTGAAACCTGCTTACTTTCCCAGAACATGAGGATCATAAAATCTTCCCTCTTCCGTGGGTGGTTGTAAGGATTCTATGAGAAGATACATATAAAAAGGATGGTACCGGATAATACTTGTACAGGGATCTAAAAACATATCAAATGCATATAGGAACACTTGGTAGAAGGTCTAGGATTAATAGTATCACTAAGTAGAGTTACGTGCTCAGTGTTATGTCTTAGTAACCTTGAAGCTTCAAAATCAGAATACCGTTGCCTTTTGTTGCTGTCAGGTCATCATGTATGGGAGAGGCAGAGGACTCACGGGTCAGATGGGCCGGGGCCGCCTCATGCCAAATAAGCAGAATTTACGAGTGGTGGAGTGCAAGCCCCAGCCCTGTGTTGTGTCCGTGGAAGGGCTTTCTTCGTCAACTACCGATGTCCAGCTGAAAAGCCTGCTCATGTCTGTAGGACCCATTCAGGTAGGTCACCTTGGGTCTCTGTCTCTGTCCAAGTTTCTCAGACCCCAAGCTATAGAACTTCTTGATGCAAAATGCTGTTTTCTTTGTGTTGCTTAATGATACACTGGATAGAAATGGGTTATTTACTATGCACCCATAATGGCACTTCCAGATGCTCAGGTATAAGCTTAAAAAAATAAATAACTGAACTGAATAAATTTATCCTTTGAAAACCCTCACAGGAACTTGCACACGTATATTATTTGTTCGGTTTGGAAATTTTTTTTTTTTTATCGTTTGGAAGTTTTTAGCTTTATGCTCCTTATTAATTTCCCAAAACATCCTCGCATGTTAACATTTTGGGTGTGTTTATGGAGTAAATGAAACATTAACCAAAGACTTGTGCTTCTGTTTTTAATAGACGAGGTTTTGCTGTGGTGCACTTAGGAGCAGCTTTTCAATTGTCATGGGCTTAAAGCTTAGGACACTCCAGACTAGGTTGTTAGTGGACTGCTCTTGAGAGCACAGATTGATGTGCAGAGCAGAATAGCACTGGGGAATGTGTTAGGCTAGATTAACTAGAGAAACAAATCCTGGGACACGCATGTATAAGAAGCAGCTTTATATCAAAAAGTAATTATGTATCAAGAAAACATCCCAACCCAGTCCAGATCAAGTCCATAAGTCTGATATTAGCCCATATGTCCGACACTAGTCCATGAATATCTTTTCAGACTCACGCAGCCACGTGCAATCATGCATAATGCAAGAAGATTACAGGTTGGTGGGTGAAAAGGCTTGTGGAACCAACAGTAGTGGAAGCATCACAGGGCTGGCACAGGTCTCCACCGCATGGCTTCTCAGGTCTCAGCCTGGCTCCACAGGGCTTGTCAACAGGAAGTTGAAGGCAGAGAGAGGAAGTTCCCAGAATCCTCATGAGAAGGCTATGCCCATAAGAAGGTATCATCAGGCTGTGACCCGATTGACAGGCTACACTCCAACCCTTCACTCTTAATATCCTCAAGTTGACATGAGATTATGTAGCCACGACAGGGAACATTAGATGCAATCAAATATAGTTCTCTGCTCTGTGGCCTTAGCAGTGAATCCATCGTTCAAAAAGCCAGGTCCCTGGTGGCATTGTTGAATAAGCTGCTAACTGTAGTCAGCCATCAGTTGCTCCACAGGATGTGACTGTTTACTCCCATAAAGATGTACAGACCTAGAAATGTTATGTAAGATGACTGATTTAGAATCGATGCAATGGCCCTGGGTTTGATTTGGGCTTTAGTCTATTACAGTGGTTCTCAACCTTCCTCGTGCCGTGACCCTTTAATACATACAGTTCCTCACGTGTGGTGACCCCCAACCGTAAAATTATTTTCGTTGCTACTTCATAACTGTAAGTTTGCTCCTGTTATGAATTATAATGTAAATATCTTATATGCAGGATGTATTAGGCGACCCCTGTGAAAGGGTTGTTCGACCCCCAAAGGGGTCGCAACCCACAGGTTGAGAACCACTGGTCTGTTAGCTATGAACCACAAACCAGTGTTGTCTGTTGAGAAGGTCATTATTAGAGTACAATTTAAGCTTACGTTGTCCCAAAGTTTCTGTTACCTGTTGGGCTTTCTATCCTTCCCTTTCGAGGGCAGAAAAGATAGAATGATTGCTTTACATTTGTGATTGGCTAAATTTTATGAGCTTTGCTTCATCCGGTGTGGTTTTGGCAACTGAATGAATACTATTACCAATATCCATGTTTGAATGGAAAGTGCTGTTTGCTTCTCTTACATGTTGAGTTTTAGTGGCTGCATTGTGACAATTAGCTCGGTAACCACTGTGAAGCCTGTGAACCTAACGTTCTATGTTCTAAATAGAACATAGTGCTTTTGAACGGCCATTTACTATTTACTCTTCGTGGGCCCCAGCTCCTTCCTCCCCACATTTTTGGTGGGTTGTTTGTGGTCCGTGGCCCCTATGTCCCCACCATCCTGAAAAGAAGAATTTGAAATCTTTGTTTTATTTAACTTATTTGGTGTCCCTTAGAAACCTAAGAACCATTTAGTGACTTGTTTTAATTAGAACAATATAACAATGAGAATGAATGTTTTCAAGGTTTCAGCAGTTATACTGAAAGTAAAAGGTGAAGGTTTACATGCCACTGTAATATAAGAATCCCTAAAGAGTGATGGGCTTAGTACTTATTCAAGAATCTAGTCTTGGTACCGTGGGGCCCAGGTGGCGTAGTGGTTATGAATTGGGTTGCTGAGCACAAAGTCTACAGTTCAAAACCAACAGCTGCCCCTTGGGAGAAAAACAGGGCTTGCTACTCCTCTGAAGAGTTAGTCTCAGAAACCTACAGGGGCAATTCTACAGTGTCTATAAGGCTTGGAATCTACTCAGTGGTGTGTGTTTGTGTCTTCCTGGCAGACGCTGTAGTGCTCTTATTTTCTGCTGGTGTTAAGCTTATGGGATTGTTTTAAATGGTGGTTTATAGATAAACACGGCTGTCATAAATTGCTGTCTCATAATTTTAAAATGCAAGGAAACTAGTATTACTAGCTTCCGCCTGCATTCGATAGCCAAAGAAATAATACTGTTAAGCAGAAATTTTAAAGGGAGTTAGCTCAGTGACTCAAGCCCGTTTCCTTTGGTTGATGAAGAAAAATGTATGCACAGCAAAGTAGTCTCTTGTCCTTTGGGGCATGGCACTACCTAGTGTTCGCTCAGTGTAATCCAAGTTGGGGTGTGATCCAGACTAGGAAGGACAGGGGCCAGTTCATTATAGAAAGTTCTAATAACTGCATGCATGTTAACTGTATTTTCTTAGCCCGTGGAATCTGATCACTTTTCTCACTGAATCAATAGAATATAGAAGGTGCCAGCCAGTATTACTTTCAGATTAATATTTCACTTTTTAAAACAACATCCATAAGTATTACTACAAAGCTCAATTTAATGGCATCTGTGTATAGAATCCGTATTCAGAGAGCAAGGAAAAATAACAAGATTATATGCAGAAATAGCTATAGAAAGAAATAGCTTAAGTATAGTACTGTGTTTCAGACTTTCAAGTGAGGCAGATGGCAATAAGAGCAAAAACTATAACTGTTAATACTAAATGAATCAGGAAGATTTTTTTTTTTTAAGGAAGGAGATTTTATGTAGGATCTTAAGATTAAAAAAAGGAAAAGGCTGTGGGAATGCTCAATCATGTTGCTAGGTGAGGAAGTGGGCAAAGGAAAGCATGGGGGCACCTGTAGGTAGCCAGATGGTTGTTAGAACATTCAGGCAGCCCCCCAGCACTGAGGCTGATAAGGCCGCTGTCCCACCCTGCTCTGCAGTTACCCTGGGATACGTGCTGCCACCTCAGGAGAACAGCTGTGAACTGTGCTCCGTCTTAAGGATTAAAACCAAATGAACCTTTTGGATTAGGAAAAAAAAGTTTATTGTAATTTCTGAGACACCTTTATCTGCCTACTTCCTAGAATTTGCCTAAGATTGTTTGAAAACAAGCAGTACATTATTTTTTTAATCCTTGAACTAGCAGCACAGAAGCCATGTCTGAACTCCTCACCACCTAAGACCTTTTGCCACAAGGCAGGGCGTCAGGGGTCAGATATGCCTCACCCTCCATCCGTCTTTACCCTGTTTTGACACCAACAGCTCCTCTCAGACAACCCCACTTTTCTGCTGGGTTTGGCGATCCATTGCAGTGGCCTCACAAGACTCACGACCAATACCCACAATTACAGTGATTTCTTAGGGAAGTTAACAAGTATTGATTAGTACCCTGTAAGGATGCAGTTTTTGGTCCACAGCAGTGGACCTCTCTGCAGTCAGTAGCGAAGTCTTTACCTAGTCCTCAGCCTTGTAGCCACGTGGTCCTTCGGCCTCTGTCTCCATGGGCCCGGAAACCAGCCTGCTGCTCTGTCTCATGGTCTCCTTGCCTCAGCCTGGCACCATTGCTCTGTCCCATGGTCTTTGTGCTACCACCCCTGGTACCTCTGCTCTCTCCTCCATTACTTCAGACAGAGCTCAAGCATGTTTCACTGGTAGTTCGTCCTCCTGGATGGTCCTGGGAGTTTTCTCTGTTTCTGCTTCTGAGATGGCACATTCTTGTAGCCAGACAGGTGAGAACTAACTGACCAGTCCCCTGTATTAGCGTTTCACAGACCCCATTTGCATGGTCCCATCCAGTCATTTGGTGGGAGTTACAGAGACAGGGATATAAGAGCCACATTATGAAATGTCACTTCATTACAATCCTATATTCTATTTCATGAAGTAAAAAACCATTTTCTCGCAGGAGATAAAATTGACAGTCACTCGGTTTGGGTGTTGGAACACACACAAGGAGAGGTCAAAAGGTATTGCTGCTCGGGTTCTAGTTTGCCCAAATGTGTTTATTCCAGAAGTGAATGGCTACAGACCTGCTCTCTCAGTAATACATTTATCTTAATCTCACTAAGGAGCTTTTAAAAGGGCGGGGGTGGGGAATACGTTTTTGTGCTTAACAAATCTTGAAAGGATCTGTGGATCTGACTTTGACCGGCCCTGGTCTTGTGCTAAAGTGAAACGAGTCGCCGGAAGAAGTAGGAGGATGTCTTCTTTCCTTCTGCTTTCACTGACGAGGTGAAGGGAAGACCGGTGACCTGATCAGTGGAAAACAGAAATCTTGAGTGCCATTCCTAGGAGCTGTGTGTGAGCTGCTGGTGGGTCCCCATTCTGCCAGACAGTCGTCGTAATGTGTACGAGGGTAAGAGAAGTGAAGAATGGCGGGGGTGGAGGTAGTCTGTGCCAGGACATCCCAGGCACTGAGAATGGACTGTGCAGCAAGCTATAGAGAAAGGTTCTGCTGAGGCCTGAATATGAATATCAGATATTTGTGTAGCTTAATTTCTCTCTTGTGCATGCATGCTCTCTTTCTCTTTTTTCTCCTCTGCCCTAGAAAAGGTGATTTCAGAGAGCCCAAAGAAGTCGCTTAAAATCAAAATGATTCAGAATTGGTCCTTTTC